CAGGCAGAGCTTGAAAACCTCAAATTTATCGCTGTTCTTGGAATAATCCATGGCGCGTTAGAAGACCTAGTATCATATATTTCATGTAATCTTGAAAAGAAAATCAGCTTCTTTGGGAAGTTTTCGCACTCCTCGCCCCGATAGACTAATGGCTGATATCGTTATCATAAGCATGTTTTCTGAATCAATTGATATTGTGTGTGTTAACGGATTGTTGTACGTATACCAAATCATTTACTTACAAAACATTTCATTGTTGAAGCTAGTTCAGAAATTTGTTATTAATACCTCAGTTCCGCTGGTTATTGAATGGTTTTTCACCAGCGTATCCTTGGCCATTGAGACGCCTTTTGGTTGCGATAACTAATCTGGTTCCATTGGCTATTTGGACAGCAACAAATCTCTTGGAAGTTGTGCATGGGCTCTTTGATGAGTCTAAAAGTCACCATTGCAACATGCCCTTTAAATAGAGAATTTCTAAAAACTAAATGCCGGCAGTCTTTCAGCCTTCCTTGTGTTAATTGACCTGTGGTGGTGTGAGAGATTGTTGACATATTGCACTTACCAGTTATTATTATCCAACTGCTAAAAGTAGAGTACAAATAACGCGCGAATAGAGCACAAATATCCTGCGACATTGCACGGTTATTTGGACAGTTAATTATTTTGTGCTGTAAAAAAACCTGTTTAACCAGTCGATTGCGTGCGCTACGCTTCTCTATCCGCTTCGCTTTTGTCGTGACAGTCCTTGAAAAACTAGTTTCGCTGTTTTTCAAAAGTGTGCATGCGCTTTTTTTTTTCTTACGCACTCTTTAATTGACAGGTGTCAGATGTTGACAGATACTTGTAAAGATAATGTTTGAAAGTTTGTTTGGAAGCCTTTTAAATCACCTTTATCATTACGCAAATGAAAATGTGTCAGTGAAGTATCTCTCTTTAATTTGGATCACCTCTATTTTAACCACCATTTACTCGCTCAAAAACTGTTCTGTTTATGGAAGATCTTGTCGTATTTACAACCCTAAATCATTCGGGTTCTTTCGGAAAGAATTTCGTTTAGTTAGAAAAATAAATAAATATATTATTTACCGCCTATGAGTCGGTCCTTATGGTGAAAAACTGTGGCTTCGATCTTGAAAATGCTGCATTTTCGAGACCTCGGTCACAGTTTTCCACCATACGAAACCTCCCAGCCGGTATATAACATAGACATCTTTTTGTTAAATATTAGATTTCTAGGTTTTCTGTGATGTGAATATTTTGTAAAAATTGTTTAATTAAGAACTGATGTAACTAGGCGAATACTACTTTGGTTAATTGGTAATAAAATGGCTTGAAAAAAAATGTAATGTAAAGGCTTTTATTACTTGCGTCATGTAAATAATGGTAATTGAACTGAGTGGAGTGCAATTTGGGTTGAAATCATAGGCATGATTTCAAAATCGAACGAGCTCGTAGCGCGAGTTCGATTTAAAATCACAAGTATGATTTCAGACCAAAATTGCACGATATAAGGTTCAATTACCACTTTATTACATCCATTTTGAAATTGCCCAAATACAGAACTTAGTCAGTTCAAATATTTTATTGATGCAGTACTAAGCCGGTTTGAAATTAAATTAATCCACTTTTTGGGGGGGAATAAGCGATTGATGGAACCTCTTCGAAATCGTTCAAAGGCAAGGGAGCTTAGAGCCAAGGAAATTGTAAGGAGCTAGAAAAATAAATGTATTTATAGACGTCCAAATGGTTAACAGTGTTAAACACCGATGAATATAGGAATACACAACATTTTCCACACGATGATCGAACGGCAAATACGAAAAAATGCATGGGAATAATCGCATTCGAGTGATGAATCGCCGATAACAACGCGTTTTCTCAACGCAAACAGCCACAAACGCTGAAAAACATCGTATTTCATCATGTTGACCGGCCCGTGAACGTTGGACGACACGTGGTTTTCAAGCGTTTTCTTCGCATTTACTGTCCTAGAAAATGGAAGAAAACGCATTGTATTCGTCGTAAAACTTTTGTGAAAACAATGTTTTGTTACTGGAAACACCAGTAAACAACCGCGCTCTTAAAACCAGGAAAACAGTTGCTTTCATAGAGTTAACTGTGAACGAAAACTGCCCGATAATGGAACGAATACTCCAGTTCGCCGATTAGACAACAACGGGAAAACTCTGGATTTTCGTTTTCGGAAAATGTCAGAAAATGCGTGAATAATACCGTGTTTTCAAATAGTCACAACTTGTTTTCCGAACGGGTGAACACCATATTTTTTGCAGTGTTCTCAGTTTAGGTATTAACAATACTCCAGGCTTATATCTTAGTGATATAACATTTTGATCGTTTCACGTTACCTATTGGTTAATCGATACAATAGAAGCTAGAAAACGCCAAGAAGAAAACGCCATTGACAGACACGAGGCCGATTGACTCATACAATATACTTATGATGGAAGTATCAGCCATTAGTTTCTCGCTGCGAGGAGTGTGAAAACTTCCCCAAGGAGCTGATTTTCTTTTCTAGACCACGTGAAGGTGCACGCTTGCATACACTGGAAGAGAATCATTTTGCTTACCTTATTAAACACGTGGTCAATTCTCAAAAGCCCTTAAGGCCACTTCGCTTGAAAGCTCAGCTTATGACACGAACCAACTCATTAAACAAATAATTAAATGTTGTTGTCTATAACTGAATAATATAGCGGTCTGTATTTTAAGTCTGAGTTTTAATGAACAGAGGCAGGTTTAAAATTTAGCAACTATGACATTAACTCTTGGAAAAGTAAATAGTGACCAAAAGCATATATCCATTCATATCTCGATGTTCCTGCATCTCTAAATTCTCAGGGACTAGGTTTAAAGTGGACGATTCGTTTTAGGTAAAGTGTGCCCCCTTACCAGCCTCTCTATACAGCGCATGTATGAAGAACAGAAGAAGAAACTATCACGCCACTAAACTCCTCCAAGTTCTGCGGATCATAGCAAACTATATTCATGAATAAAACTGACAGTCTCTCGAGTCAACCGTTGACCCGAGAGACTGTCGAAGCTCGTAGAGAAGCAAATGATCGAAAGCTCATTTTCGATTCGGGTTTTAGCCTGAGGGTTTTTCTACTTAACAGTTACACAAAAGAACTGAATGCTCATTAAGTAAAGGTAGCGAACTGCTTAATTTTCGTAGAAAACTAGAAAGCTATCACCAAACAAATGAAGTCCTATCATCGTGAAAGCATCTGAGAGGATGTGTTGAAATAAGCGGTTAAAGATGATCGCGCAACTTTCCAAAATACATTCTACTTACTCTACGTAGAAATTCATATCGAGCTAATCTCTGATGTCTCAAATCCGTAGAACACGATTTTATCTACATACAGCGCACTCCAAATACACTTTCTTGAAAGGTTTAGAATGATAAATTTATTACAATTCCAGTATCTATACGCATATCAGAATTATATATGCCATTTTTTTTAACTAAGAAGAAAGGCGCGTGCATGAGCGAACGCCGTTTAAACTGAAAACAATGGCGTCCTTACAAGCTCTTTTTTTTATCGTGCCAAGGACCTCGAAGGCTCACCCATAAGAGTTTGCTTACTGTCTAAAAGTTTTCTGTCGTTGCCTGTCGCAAATAGACCTCGGATTAAGAAAAGACTGAAAGACTGCTTGCCTTCCACAGGCTGAGCGGGTGGATTTTGTTTTCCTTGTTGCCACATTTCGGTAAATGCAACATGTCAAAAATCTTGATCAATACACGCCCATCAACCCAGGGAAGGCCGAAAGACTGCCGGCATTTAGTTTTTAGAGGTTCTCTATGTGAAAGGCATTTCGCACGGATGACCTTAACACTCATCAAAGCGCACATGCACTACTTCCAAGAAAGTTGCTGTCTTCGAGAGAGCCATTATAAACAGATTGGCCATTGCAACAAAAATGTGTCTTTTCCATCTTTTGCGCCAAACAGCCATAACTGCGATATTCTGAAAGCGAGTCTCGATGGCCAAGGATACGCCAGTGAAAAACCATTGAATCATCAACGCAACAGCGGTATGAATAACAAATTCCTGAAGAAGCTTTAAAAATGGAATTTTTTGTAAGTACGTGAACTGATACAAATACAAGACGCCGTTAACAGACACAATAGCAGTTGATTCACATAACATGCTTAAAATGGCAATGTCAGCCATTAGTCTCTCACGGCGAGGAGTGCGTAAACTTCCCCAAGGAGCTAATTTTCTTTTCAAGATTACATGGCAAATATGATCAACAAAGACCACGGTGCTTCGCTCTAGAACTTCTACCGCGCCGTGGATTATTCCAAGAACGGCGATAAGTTTGATGTTTTCAAGTTCTGCCTGCATTACTCGAAACATGATCGCTGATCCAAAATACAACGGCACTAGCAAGATGTACGAATATCCTGGATGAGCAATTTTCTTCAAGCGTTGAGCGCAAAGTCGTAAGATTACCTTAAAGATAACTCCAAAGAGAGGTGAGAAGAGTGCAACAAGGAGTTTTCCACGTTCATTTTGTTTGTTGTACATTGGATAAATACACACTTTTACAAAGATGGCAAGAAAGAGAGTGAAGCAGTAGGGTGTTGTCAATTTAATAAATAAAGTCGCTCTACTCGACAGGTTCCGGAAGTGATTTGTTAGAAGAAAAATTTGGCAGCATATGCTGATTAGAAATATAACATAGAGAGGAATTACAGAAAACTTGTAATGAGATATTCCAACAACACGATACACTGTATCCACACAGGAAAAGACAAAAGCAACAAGAATGAGTTTTCTCTTCACGCCCTTTAACTGATACGGTCGAAAAAGAAAAAGTATTCCTGCAGAGAACCACATATAAAGAAAGGCAACACCTATTACCCTACGCAAAATACCGATCCACTGTATTTTAACTGGGATTGTCTCCTTCGGGTGAAATTGCCAGTTCTGCACCGGTTCGGACGAGACGTAAGAGATCATGATATAAAAAAGGCCGAGGATAACAGCGGCCAGAAGTGAAATCAATGCGCCGATGTACATTGATTGACAAACTGTGCGAAGAACGGATGGTCTGAATCGCTTCCAAGCCATTTCATCATCTTCATTTTGCTGTTCGTCTCCATCTTCATCTGGTGAGCTCGCGTCAATAACCCGATATTTAACTCGAGAATTATCGACTGACAAGAGATCATAATCGTCGTCCGATGGCGGTGAATATTCCTGGTAAATAGGTTTATCAACGGGCTGACAATTCCACTCTCGACCCTCACTGCTTAAGCTTTCGTTATATCCAAACGTCTCCACTTCAGGCTCATCAGGGTCGTAATGCTCCGCCACGCCGCGTGTGAAGCTGAATAAAACACGGGCAAAAACTTCAATCAGCAAACTGTTAGCCATTATCCGCGTTAGAGAGTCTTTGAGTGAACACTCGAGATCTTCAATACCGAATGAACATATTTTTAATAAGCTCCAGGGTTTTAATTATAATGTTTAGAAAGCGGAAATGCTAACAAAGGAGAAACAATACTCCGACCATCTGCATGGTAGCGAAAGTATTGACTATTCCACTTGTTTACTAAATATTGAAGAAAAAAAATGTTGACGATTAATGACATTTAAACAAATGCTTATAAAGAGGTAGTCAGACTTTATTTCAGTTATAGTCCCTGTATTCTTTCTTATATCAGGCGTGACGTAATATATTGTTTTCTCTGAGGTTTAGCACATTGTTCTTTAATATCCATCACTGAATGTAGCTCTGAAAGTGGAAATACTACACCTTATTGAACAAATGAAGCACCTAGAAATCAGTTCTACGTCAATTTTAAGCTGAGAAGGTTGTCCTTAAGGCAAACACTTCTTCAATGACTTCAAGATACGTTGCGTAGAATCAGTCCCGTAAAATATCTGTCGAATTCTTTCATCATCACGGAACTTCACTTAAAACAGATTCCCATTTGTCTACGATTGAAAACGGTTAGAAAGTTTTTGCCAAATAGGCTCGAAAGCCAGATGATATCAAATGACCGTGACTCCTTTGCATGGATAACAAACTTCCTTAGCAGAGACATCCTGTCGGAAATAGGCTTTCGGTTAATATATAGATTTAGCCAAGCCTAAAAGCGGAGCTCTTGTTAGTTTATTTTCCAGCCCTTCGTTATACTGAATAAAAACTGTGATAAAACTCTTCATCACTGGCTGTAGAAGAGTTTCTTCAATGGATTGAAAGACCAGTTCGGGGGGTGAGGAGGTGGGGAAGAATTGACGAAGTCTGGAACCTGGGGACGATGTTCTCACAACTACACACATGCTAGTCAGCGGTATCTCTAGACAGCTTACGACCTTTGTCGCTGTTCTTGATGTTGTGACCAAATGTTCGAAGACAGGAAGTGTTTTCGTCTTCAGATGAAGTGCATGATGCCAGCATCGGTTCAAATGATATTTTATTGAGCGTGACTTATAATTTCGGTTTGGGAAAATGAGCCAAAATTGAAAGAAATGACAGTAAAACACTTTGCGTCAAGACATTACTGGTGGAGTGAGGTGTATAGGTGCAGTGAACACAGTAAGTCAGTAAAACAATACGCCAGAATCGTATGGACTTCTCCTATATCTTCTCTTGAAGTTGCCAGGTATGACTGCTTACCCCACTGTTTTTCCCCAACGTTTCAACCTCCTGTTTAACGTAGAAAATTTTAATTTTAATTTTATTTTCATTCATTAATGAAGTCGGCTTTTCTTCCCAGTAAAGGGCTATTGTGTTTATATGATAAACACAATATGTTCAACAATATGTTCAACTCGACATCTCACTCGTTCGCTGCGCTCACTCGAGAGCTATCGAGTTAAACACTCCAAGAGAAATTCCATATCTACGCGCGCCCATGTATTATTCTCTATTTCTCATGTTTGCAAATAATTGAATTTACTGGGAGCTGGAGTTGTTGCAACATTTTAACATGAAACGCAACAATACATTTTATTGATATGTAAAAAGTTTTCATCTGACTATCTACTGGCAAGTATTTGTATTATATTTCAACTCAACCATTTCCCTCAACATATAAACACTATCACAAAATAATTAGTCAGGGAAATGGAAAACTTGTGGCATAAACACCATGTTTGAAATGCCATGACCATAGTAAGCTAACAGGATTGAGTAGGATGTATGTGGGAATAGGCCCTCTTGTCCGTATCAATAATTTGCTAATCACTCCTGTTGGCAATGTTTTGATGAGGCTGGGCTGTCAGGGCAAAGGAACTGAGGATTTTAGCAGGCAATGACTTTTTTACAAACCCGGAAACTATCATCGTGAAAGCCATACTTGAACTCATTCTTATTCTGATAAACTAGTTTTAAAAAAGATACTTTAATTTGACTATACTTTTATGGTCAATACCAGTCCCTTCACATGGTAAAATGTTAGGAGGATTAGAGGAAATATAATGTGCCATACATCTGCAAGATTTGATGAAATTATTTTAATTACAAGAATATTAACTGATACTAGGAGATCTAATATTAAAAAAATGTAAAAATTTGGTTGAAAAATTAGAATTCAGCACAGGCTGGATAAACAAGGTTCTTAGAAAAAGAAATGCGTACTAATGAAAAAGCTAAGCAAACTTTTTTTACAACACCTGCCTGTACCTATATGGCATGTAGTAAAGTCTTTTGAAGTAGTCATAATCCCAGTTTCATATGTTGAAAACACATGCACATGTAGATTTCCTGTAAACCTATAATTTAAGCCTGTGATGACTTTGAAATTTTGATGCACTCCTCAAAAGGAGAACAAATAAATTTCATTTTTCTATTTATTCAGTTTAGGTTAGTGAGGTAAAACTGAGTCAAACATTCAAGACGTACAACGACAGGTTCAAGAAATTTTCACAACTAATTTTTAAGGTTAGCCAGTACCTGGAACAATCACTTTCATGTAAAAATTAGACCAGGTTTGTACTGATGATGCCCAACAGAACTATCTGTGATAAGAGGGCAGGCTTTCCTTTCTTTATTTAAAGAAATAATGATGTTATCATCTTTCCACAAGCTCGGTGGAAAGTGAGAGTGAATGAGACTGATGGTGACTATGTTATTTGAATAAACATCTAGAGCCAGGATAAAAAGTCAGACATGGTCTGCAAAACTCTCTCATTTTAATTTTTTAACCTATTAAGCTAAAGCTTTACATTCTTGCTTTGTGATTATGTGGATACCAATTACTGGTAATTTAACTTTCATGCATCAAAATACAAAAAAATGTTCTCTTCATCTGTGGCCCTAAACATTACAGGAAAGGAGGAAGGTCAAATCAAAAACAGGAATTAAAATAAGAAGGCCCCCATTAATTTCAGTCCTAATTAAAGGAGAATCCTTGTTTTTCCAGATTCCCACCCTTTTAAACTCATATATCTTGTGACCAATTCCTTATTTCCGATGTTCAGTCTGGGTAGGACCATTGATAAGAAACACCATGCATTAATGAAAGCCTGAGCTGGTGTATTTAATGCAATCTAAATAATATTACATGTTACAGTATGGTAACTTACACAGCAAAATTATATAATCACACAATTCCAAACAAAGGAAGTCAGGTTATTGACTTGCCTGCTTCAACTTTTGAGGGCTTAAGGTACAGAGAATAGATATGGTAAACAGCTACAATTAATACAAAGTTGAAAGTTTGAAAGCTAAAAGATATATATTACAATCATCAGACCCTATGCATCCTAGCAAAAGAAGGGTCATTTACCACCATAACTTCTCCCAAATGTTCATGCTCACAGGAAATCATTGATTTTTGTCTCTAGGTGGTACTGTATTTACAATAGTTCTGCCGGTGTGACAGAGCATTACGACCCTGATGAGCCTGAAGTGGAGATCTTTGGATATAACGATAGCTTAAGCAGTGAGGGTCGAGAGTGGAATTGTCAGCCCGTTGATAAACCTATTTATCAGGAATATTCAATGCCATCGGACGACGATTATGATCTCTTGTCAGTAAGGAATTCTCGAGCTAGATATCGGGTCATTGATGCGAGCTTATCAGTGGAAGATGAAGACGAACAGCAAGATGAAAATGACGAAATGGCTTGGAAGCGATTCAGACCATCCGTTCTTCGCACAGTTTGTCAATCAATGTACATCGGCGCATTAATTTCACTTTTAACACCTGCCATCGTTGGCCTTTTGTACATCATGATCTGTTACGTCTCCTACGAAACGATAAGCAACTGCCAACTTCACCCAAAGGAGACAATCCCAGTTACAATACGGTGGATCAGAACACTGTCTGACTTAATAAGTGTTGCTTTTCTTTACATGTGGTTCTTTGTAGGAATGCTTTTTCTTTTTCGACCGTATCAGTTAAAGGGCGTGAAAAGAAAACTCATTCTTGTTGCTTTTGTCTTGTATTAGAATATCTCATTCCAAGCTTTCTGTGACTCAGAGGATTCCTCTCTATGTTATATTTCTAATTAGCATATGTTGGCAAGTTTATCTTCTAACAAATCACTTCCGGAACCTGTCGAGGAGAGGGACTTTATTTATAAAATTGACGACACCCTACTGCTTCACTTCCTTTCTTGCCATCTTTGTAGCAACGCTTATTTATCCAATGTACAACAAACAAACTGAGCGTGGAAAACTCCTTATTGCACTTTTCTCACCTCTCTTTGGAGTTATCTTTTAAGGTAGCCTCACGACTTTGCACTCAAGGCCTGAAGAAAATTGTTCATCCGGGATACTCGTACATCTTATTAGTGCCGTTGTATTTTGGATCAGCGGTCATATTTCGCGCGATTAGAGCACAAATATCCCGCGATATTGTACGGTTATTTGGACAATTTGTTGTTTTGTGCCGTAAAAAAACCTGTTTAACCAGTCGATTGCGCGCTATCCGTTGTGCTTTTCCTGCCTTATAGGAAATGAGCAGAAAGACTTAGCAGAAAGTACTTGGATAATAAATAACTTATTAAAAGTTTTAGTGTGTAGTATCGTTGAGTATTTTTAAACCTCATGAGATTTTTAGAATTAATGGACTGAACTTCACACTTGAATATAATTTCTCATGTACTCATGCTAGAATTCAATGCAGTGAACCAAACCCCTGCTTCAGAGTTCTAAAAATAGACGTAAACCAATCTGTTCTAAAGTTTTAAACTATTCGCCAAACTTAATTAGATGCAGTGTTGGTAAACTTTTGCTCTTTTAGTACAACTGCTGGTGCGCAACTGAAAAGTCCCATACTTCATCCTGAGGGGTGGGGTGAGAATTAAGAAAAGAGGTTGCACTATTGACTGTAATGTCTCATCTTTCAATTTACTTAATGTCTGAGTGGAAGAGCCAGATGGAAGAATATTTGACTCGAGATCATGAACGAGAGCCAAAC